AAAAAAAAAAAAAAAAAAAAACAACAACACAAAAATTAGCCGTGTGTGATGGCACACACCTGTAGTCCCAGCTACTAGGGAGGCTGAGGCAGGAGAATTACTTGAATCCGGAAGACGGAGGTTGCAGTGAGCCAAGATCAAGCCACTGAACTCCAGCCTAAGTGACAGAGAGAGGCTGCATCTAAAAAAAAAAAAAATCAGCCCCTTTAGAAAGGCATCCTGATGTTGAGTCTTCTTCCAATTAAATTAATTCATTCCTTCAACAAATATTTTTGTGCTCCTGTTACGTGACAGGCACCGTGCTAGGCACTGGGGATGGGAGTGGGGTTGGGGATGAATGAAATATTCCTATGGAGATTACGTTCTGAAGACAGGCAATAAACAATGAAACCAACACACAGATCATCAGATGCTGACGAATGTCATGAAGGAAAGCAAATAGGGTCACGGGGTAGAGAGAGGCTGGAGGTGCTTTAGGGAGGGTGGCCCAGGAAGCCTTTTGGAGGAGGTGATACTAGAAATGAGACTTGGACATTAGACGGAACAGGCCTTACAAAGCTGACATGGGGTGGGGGGAGGTGGTTCCAAGCAGAAGGAGCAGCGAGAGTAAAGACCCCAGGCGGGCAAGAGCTTGGATTCCAAGGAATGCAAAGAAGGCAGGAACAGCGGGAGCTTAGGGAGCAGGCAACAGAATGGCAGGAGGGGTGGGGAAGGGCCAGACCACACAGGGCCCTGTGAACCCCAGTGGGGATCTGAGTTCTAATCTGCCCCCCAGAGTTCACGGTAGAGGGTCCTGTGGGAAATAGTCAATGAAGTGCCAAACCCAGTGCCTGGTGCCAACACACGCTCGGCCAGGCGGGTGGTCACCAGGCTCTCAGTGACCGCTTCACTCCCTCACACCTTCCGCTCACCCACACCTCAGTCTCTTTGCTGGAGGCTCCCTCTGGCCCTGCCGCTGCTCTGTCCACTCCCGCTGTGGGTCACACACACCTATCCCAACAGCCCTCACCCATGAGTATAAACACCCCAGCTCCCTTCCCCCTGGTGGGATGACTCTGAAGCTGCTGTTCTATGCCATTCCCCAGGGTCTCCCCAAAGGAACAAGCCCCAGTGGCCCACACTCCACACTGGTAACCAGCTCCATAACCCATGCTTTGCTGACTGCCTTCCCTTACCCATGCTGATTCACAACCCCCCTAGGGCCCCCTTTTGGCCCTAGCCGCCCCCGAGGTTCTCTGGAGTCAACTCCCAGGTCAAGTGTTGCACTCAAATCCTTCTGGGGGACCTCATCCTTCCACAGAGACCCTGCTGGGGGCAGGGAAGGGCACCAGGGACCCTCAGGACCCGGCTTACCACCGACTCACGCACCTGCATACCCGTGATGGAGACATGGTGAGACTCCACTGTGGGCCGCCGGGGCAGCCGAGGCGAGGACTGCGGGGAGCTGACAGGCGAGTAGGGCAAGGATGGGCAGATGCAGCGTCCGTTCATGTCGAGGTCGCCGCCGGCTGCCAGCCCAGCCTGGGACCGCTCTTGCAGAGACAGCTTGCGACCAGAGAGATGGGGCCGGGCCTGGGACCCGGAGGTGTCGAGGGGGGCCTCTTGGCCATCGGCCTTCAGAGGCCGATCCCGGGCCAGGCCGAGGTCCACAGCACAGCCCGGCTCACACTCGGTGACCACAATGAAGGACTCCATGCCCAAGTGGATGCTCAAGGATGAGAGGCCCCGCAGGGCCGCACAGGGCTGCTGGCTTTTGCTGCTGCTGCTGCCCCTGCCCCCCAGATCATCCTGGGGGGTGGCCCGGTTGCTGCTGGGCTGGCTAGAGACACATGATGACATGGTGCATGTGCCAGCTTCATCCAGCACACTGGGGCACTCCCATCTGGCAGCGGAGCCACCTGTGGAGAAATGAAGGGTCAGCCGGCCCGGCTCCTGCAGGCAGGGACAGGGAAGGAGCACCTCTCCTCCTGGCCCAGGCTGCTAATTCCTGCCTCCAGTTGACATCCTTAAAAAATCCTGCAAAATATGGTGTGCGCCGGGCGCGGTGGCTCACACCTGTAATCCCAGCACTTTGGGAGGCCAAGGCGGGTGGATCACGAGGTCAAGAGATTGAGACCATCCTGGCCAACATGGGGAAACCCCGTCTCTACTAAAATACAAAAAATTCGCTGGACATGGTGACGGGCACCTGTAATCCCAGCTACTCAGGAGGCTGAGGCAGAGGAATCACTTGAACCCAGGAGGCAGAAGTTGCGGTGAGCTGAGATCACACCGCTGCGCTACAGCCTGGCAACAGAGAAAGACTCCTTTTCAAAAAAAAAAATATATATGCTGTAATCTGATCTCAGTCTATACAGAAAAGCACAGTCTGCATCTTTCCTGCCCCCCCTCTTTTTTTTTTTTTTTGAGACAAGGTCTCTCTCTTTCTCTGCTGCCCAGGTAGGAGTACAGTGGCACAACTGTAGCTCGCTGCACCCTTGAACTCCAAGGCTCAAGCAACCCTCCCATCTCAGCCTCCCAAGTAGCTGGGACTATACGCACGTGCCACCACACCCAGCTTGCATCTTCTCATTTTAAAAGCCCCTTCTCATACACCATGACAGCAATTCCTAAGTCAATTCTTATAGGAACAAGTATAAGAAAACCCCCAAATAGAGCACATATGTCCCCTACAGAATTGACAGCTGCTTCCAGCTCAAGCCAACTGTTGCTCAGCAGGACTCTGGGCCTACTATTGCCCTTTGTTTTTTCCCAAGAGATGCCCTAAGGAGGTTAATAAGGTTGCCTGACCTTTTCACATTAGCAATTGATTCAAATATTTTTAAATGCTGGGCACTAAAAATGAAGGTCAGGGCCGGGCACGGTGGCTCACACCTGTAATCCCAGCATTTTGGGAGGCCAAGGCAGGCAGATCACTTCAGGACAGGAATTGCAGATCAGTCTGGCCAACATGGTGAATCCTTGCCACTACTAAAAATACAAAAATTAGCCAGTCATGGTGGCACACGCCTGTAATCCCAGCTACTCAGGAGGCTGAGGCAGGAGGATCACTGGAACCGGGAGGTGGAGGCTGCATCAGCCAAGATCGTGCACTGCACTGCAGCCTGCGCAACAGAGCAAAACTGTCAAAAAAAAAAAAAAAAAAAAAAAGGTTGGACTGGAATCAAGTATATGCCACAATATGGATGAAGCTCTAGAGTATTATGCTAACTGAAGGAAGCCAGTCACGAAAGGTCATATATATACATGATTCTATTTATATGAAATTTTTAGAACACGCGACTCGAGACAGAAAGTGGAC